AAAAAAAAAAAGAAAAAAAGATGGCATAATGTTAACAATCGGGGAGTCTTGCAACTTTTAAGATTAAAATGATTTCAACAATAAAATTAAAAAATAGGAGGGTACACTGTCGTGGCCTGGAGTGAGCAAGGAGCACTAGAAAGTGCAAACATATGTGTCCTGTTCTGTCATTTGGAATTATGTAAGGGTAAACAAGCTCCGCTGTTATAATACAGAAAACTCTACAGTGAGTTGCTTAATTATATCAGCTACTAGTCAGTGGTCTGACTGACCCTGCATTCAACCTTGCCTACACATTGGAATTGCCCAGTGAAGTTTAACACAATATTAATGTCCAGATCTCCTCCCCGGCCCCGAGATATCCTGATTTCATTGGTCTGGGATATGGCGTGGGTGTGGGGATTTTTAAAAGTTCCCCAGATTTTTCTTATGTGTAGCCAAGATTGAGAACTATTGGTAGCTGCTAGCAGTACTTCGTAGATTTGATTAAGGGGAGGAGGAGGGAAAAAAGATAAGAATTTAATAAAGTTGTAGTATGTACGAGATACCTTGCCTCACTTCGTGCCCCTCTGGCTCCATCCAACTTTTTCCTCCCTATCTTTATTACCTATCCCTCACAAAAACCATTAGCCACTTGTCATTCATTTTCGGCTTTTTTCTGATTCTCTTATCATTCTGAAATGTATTTATTGCTTCTAACATTTTGGGTGCTTTGATGACCAAGATATTGTCTATAATGACATAAAAAGATATAATTCTAAAACTCACTTGACTCTCCAAACCTTCTCTTGTAATGGATCCTGGTAACGTTTTTTTATTCTGGGATTTGTAAAAGTTTGAGACTTACAGGTTGAATCATGGCTGGGTAAATACCACATTTTAAAAAATGGATAGACTGTGTTCCTTTTACTTCCTGCAACGCCCACCAGAGCTGCACTGGAATATATTCTTTAAATTTATGCTATTGGAATTGGAATAATTTCAGTTACATCCTGTTTTGATTCTTCAACTCATGCTGCTATTCACAATTCAGACTTGCTGAAACCCTACTGCTTGTCTTTTACTGTTCCCAGAAGTAATTGGTGGAAACCCTAAGAGCTGGATTTGGCAGCAGAGGATTTGGTGAAGAGGAGAATGACTTAAAGGTCATTCTTTAAAGGGCCCAGCTTTTCTGGCTGTGCTATTTTTCCAGCTGTTGATTAAATAAAACAGTGATTTTTGTAACATTAATTTGGTTGCCTTCTTGGCAATGGATATTGATGTAACAAGCTTTTTTAGCACTCAGCTTCTTTGTTTCTTATCAGTTTCATCCTTCCCTTTTGGAGGCTTCAGCAGATCACAAAGTTTGCTGTCTCCACTATTTCTGTACTGGTGAATGAGGTCTAGTTAAAATGAACATCAAGAACAGTCATAAAGGTGGAGTAAAATGAGGCAATATTATAGAAGAGTTTAAGAGTATAGATGGAAGGCTGAATCGGGAGTAGTCGACTTCTTTTTCATGGGCTTATCAGTGTATTTTCTTATTTCTTTTGCAACCAGTTGATGGTTGTTACCTTCTCTTTTATTTCAGCTCTAGCTTTCTGATGATAGATGAGCCTGGGCCTTAAAATAGTGGTGACAGCCCTGGCATTTTGCAGTGCAGGGTGTCAGTCAGTCATTCAAGACTGTACCTTTAGAAATGACTCTGGTTTGTACCATTCTTGAAGCTTCAAGGTTGTTATTTCTGTTAGATTGATTGAATAGGATGGGGCCTTAAAGCCCAGTAACTTCTTAAAGTACTGATTAGAGCAGTGATTCTCAACCTTGGTTGTGCATTAGAATCACTTGGGGGAAATTTTAAAAACATGAACATAGGAGTTCTACTTCTTGCCATTCTGATTTATTTGGTCCAGAGTGAAGCCTGAGCATTGTTATTTTTAAATACTTTCCAGGTAATAGCGTGTGGCCAAGGCTGAGGATGTCTGGATTCAGGAGTCAAGAGACGTAGTTCTAAGGCCAGCTCAATCACTAACTCTGTGACCTTTGAGACTCAGTTCTTTATCTGTAAAGTTGAGAGTGAGTGAATGAGATGATATCTAGAGTCTCTTCTGATTTGAAAACACTGATTTGTGAACCCGTTCCCTGCCTACATTTATTTTTTCCCCAGAACCTTGAAATTCTGATTGGAGATCACCCCGCAGATATCATTCTTTCCCCATTGTAGTAAGATACCATGAGATTTGCTTTTTCCCACTCCTGTGCTCCCTAAGATCTGGATTGCTCCTTCCTCTCTGGCCATAACCTAAAGGATGGTATCCTTATCAATGGGTCAGTTAGTATTCTAGATATTTGAATTGTACCTATCCTATAATTTTAAATAATCCTATTTCAGTTGCTGCCCTGCCTCTGGTCAGCTATGCTGGTGTTACTTATTACATAGTACAGTATTCTGCTCCAGTTCTCTGATCCTGAGACCTCACCCATTTGTTCTCTTCTCTTATAGGAGAAATCTTTGAATTAAAGGCTGAACTCAACAATGAAAAGAAAGAAAAGAGGAAGGAGGCTGTGAAGAAAGTGATTGCTGCTATGACTGTGGGGAAGGATGTTAGGTAATCACTCCTGCTCCTGGTCACTTTAGACTCTATTTTATGGCTTTTACTGCTTTTCATTTAAAACTGTTATAATAGTAGAACCTATAAGAGTGGTTTTGTCCCACTGAAAACATCATCAGGAATTGTAGTTGCTTTTATATTAATTCTGTGACTTAATTTGTTTTTTGGAAGAGTGAAACCAGTTTGATTTTGTTGGATACAGATCTAGCATAAAACCTCCCAAGAGTTGGCACAGTTACAAATCTGTTGCCGAGGTAGTTTTAGAAGATGATTAAAAATATACTGAGAGGCAGAAGCTCATTCATATGTTCTTTAATTGGCTCAAGCCAGTGCCCTCAACTTTATAACTCTACATTTAGTTGCTGAATTTGAGATGAAAGTCAATGTTAAAAAAATCCTTTTTTTTTTTTTTTGATATTTCTGTAACTTAGCAAGACCATTTGGAAATAAGTAAGTGTTGTCTGCAGGCCCCAGAGGATTCCCAAGGTCCTTTCAGGGGGTCCATGAGGTCAAAGCTGTTCTTATAATAATATTTATGTATTATTTGCCTTTTTTACTATATTGACATTTGCACTGCTGGTGCCTTAGCATGAATCAAAGCAGTGGTGCCAAATGATAGCAGTAGTCATTGTATTCTTCACCGCTGTGTACTTGCAGGAATGTAGGGCAGTTTCACTTAGGACTGTCCTTCATGAAGCATTAAAAATTTATTTTATTAAACCTTGAACCTTAAGTACAGGTCTTTTTAATATTCTTTGTAATGAAATAGGAATTGTACATAAAGCAGTCTTGCTGCATAGCAAAGTGTGATGGTTGACTTGCAAAAAAAGCCCTTGCACAATCGTTTGAATTGGGAACACCATTTTTATGTGAAAGAATGCTTGACAGACAAATTATCATTAATCAGACTTCAGTATTTGGGAGACATTTTATCAAAAATGAACAAAGTGAACCTGTCACTTCAAGTGAAAAAATTTAACAGTAGATAAATTTTGAGCTTGAAAGTAAAAATTAGAGTGTTGGAAAACTTGTGTCTTCCATTGTGAGCTTGACAGCTTCCCAATACTTAGAGACTTTTCTGGTGAGATTGGTGGTAAAATTAATGAATGTGATTATTTGCTGTTATATAATGAAATATGTTAACATCAGGAAAAGCTGCATAACTCATTGAACCAGTATTTTCCAAATGACCAATGCATATATCACAAAATTACACATGGGTAAAAGATCCATTCAAAATAAATGATAAATGAATAGATTTTAATGCAACCAAGTACAAAGTGTTTATGGATATCGTTTCAGATTCCGCATTGCAACTAACTTTTAAGAAACTACTATTTGTGGACTAAAAATCACAAAAACACCATTTGTCTAGCTTTAATGTATCAAAGAATATCCAGTTATATGAAAAAGCTATAAAAATACTCCTCCCTTTTCCAGTTTGTGTACAAGTATGAAGCTGGATTTTCTGCTTACACTTCAGCCAAAACAACATTCTATGACAGGTTGAATGCAGAAGCAGATAGGAGAATCCAGCTGTCTTTGTTTAAACTAGACAATAAAGAGATTTGCAAACATGTAAAACCATGTCGTCTTCTTAATAAGGAAAAAGTAAATTTTTACTTTAAAATGATATTTATGTTAATATGAAATGCATTTATTATTGTTAATTTAAAAATATTGATTAATCCATTTAAAAATTTTCTATTTTAATTCCTATTATGGTAAAATATCAGTAGGTATAACCCACGTGAACAAAACTCGCTGGGGATCTCAGTAGTTTTTAAAAGTGTAAAGGGTTCATGAGACCAGAAAGGTGAGAACAGCTCCTCTAACTAGATCAGGAGCCCAGGTGGACATGGTGGCAATAAGTAATGACTCGGTGTCTTCTTGTGCTCCAGGTGCTTCTGTTCTGAGGCGGGTTTTTGTTGTCGGAGTTTTGTTTGTTAGCACATAACCATATTTGGTTCTTAACTTACTGTTCTGTGACCATCTATCTCAGAGGTCAGCAGATGTTTTTCTGTAAAGGGCAAGATAGTAAATACTCTTGGCCTCGCAGGCCAAGAGGCAAAAAATTGAGGCTATTGTGTAGGTAATTATATAACAAGAGAGAAAACAATTTTCCATAATTTTTTTGTTGATGAAATTCAAAATATAACAGTTTTTTTGTACTACAGGTCTACTAATGAGAAGATTGGGATTCTTTCTGGGGGATAACATTTTGCTTAGTTGGGATTAAAAGTTAATATTCTCTATCATCAAATCAGTTGTAAATGTTCATCTGTAAAAACCACTTTTAGCTCACAGCTCATACAAAAGTAGGTGGTGGGCTGAATTTGGCCCACAGACTTCATTTTGCCTACCCACGATCTGTCTAGTCACTGAAGGACTGTTTTTGCCAAGGAGTAAATCTAGTTTGAGAGCATCAGTACAGATGAACTGGTGAAAGTCAGCATACTTCATTGGTGGGGCTTTTGTCTTCTTACCAAGCTTATTTCTATATCCTACAGAAAAGTTAAAACTCAGAGTTTCTTTTTGTATGCTTGGTAAATACTATTTGTTAATCTGTTAATCGCTGGTAATTTATTTTGTGCCTAGCACTATACCACATATCATAATTCAAACAAAAGGATAGTAGATTTTTTTTTTAGCCTTCATAGCACTTCCTGTCTAGTTGAAGAGATCCCGAATTTGAAAAATTAGGGAATAATAAAATACAGTTCTGTAATTAGGTACTAGAATGTACACTTTAAAGGCAATAAGAGTTCTATAAAAGAGAGATCTATGTAAATAGGAATAGTTGAAAAGAACCCTTCTTGGAGGAGATGGGATTTGTGCCTAGAAAGAAAAAGAAACAGAACAGAGATTAGCTATTTGTAAGTTATCGTATTTTGGTCTCCCCTGCAAGTAATCTCAAGTTCAGTGCTATCAGATAGAAATGCAATGCGAGCCACATAGGTAATTTAAAATTTTCTTGTAGCCACATTAAAAAAGTTAAAAATATATGAAGTTAATTTTAGTAATATATTTTGTTTAGCCCAGTATATCCAAAATAGTATCATTTCAGTGTGAAGTCAATATAAAAAAATATTAATGAGATACTATACATTATATTTTTCATACTAAGTCTTCAAAATCCAGTATATGTTTTACATATTCATCACATCTCAGTTTGGACTAGCCATATTGCAAGTGCTCTGTAGCCACATGTGACTAGTGGCTACTGTATTGGAAAGTTCAGGTTTCTGATTTATAGATTGGTGCTTAACAGTTTTTACCTCTAGAACTTTGACAATTTTTGATGAAGATTTTCTTGCTCTTGTGCAGGTTGTTGGAATTAAATTATTTAGGATCTTAAATTTACTATTGGTTAATGTTTCACATTTATTTACTGGTTTTACTGTTGTTTTACACATGAGCTAGTCCCCTAGGAGATGGAAAGAACACTCATTTTTGGAGAGTGCTTATTGGCATTCGTTAAATATCTACATGTGCATGAAACTACACTAGGTACATACGTGCAAGTTAAACAAATAGTTTGTCTTCCAGGGCAGAAGCCATTAGTTCATTGGAGATATGGTGGAATCTTTGACTTTTGCAATCCATCTTCCTTTTTGTAAATAATTTCTATTTCTGTATGTTTTTTTGTGTGTAAGGAGGCTATACCATGTGACCAATTATTTCAGTCATTCTCTTACTTTTCTTTAGAAATATACTGACATTTGCTTTTCCTTTCTTCTGTACTAGTAGTAAGATATTTAGAAGTATTTAAAATTTGTAAGGTACTTTGATAAAGCCTTAGGGGGAAGGTTAATTGCTAACTTTCAATAAAATTATAGTTAAACTATATTAAAAAATACAGTTTACACTTTAAAATCTGACAAGCTCAACCCTTCCAAGCTGATGGTGCTACTTGGTGATTGGAAGCAAAAATTTCTTTCCTTTGGCTTTATAGGAGAATGGTAAATCATTAAATGACTTGAACCTGGGAAAAGTATAAACTCTTTTTATATTTGAGTATATTCAAATTTTCATTTGTCTGAATGGGTAGTGTTAAAAATAAATAAATAAATTCCACAGAAAAGGAATTGGGACATCTTAGAGAAATGACTGATTCCAGTTGTGGGATCAGAAATGTACAAAATGAGCCTGGATGGAGCATCTTGTCCTACCAGAAAACAAGGAAGCTATTGAAAATACAGAGTCATGTCACAAGGACTCAGGAGCTAACTGAATAAGTTCCCACTGGTCAAGGATGGAAGAATATGAGCATTAAAAAGTATAACAATTATAGCCCTTTGAAACTGCAATGAACTTATATGTGAAGAATTATTGTTAATTTTTTTGTGATAAAGATAGTGATTTAAAAAAAAAGATTCCTAAAGATACACAGTAAAATATTGTATATTAAATGATATGATGTCTAGGATTTGTTTAAAAATAATCCAGAGCAACTAAATGGGGTAGGGCCTGGGGGAGGGAGACTGGGTTGAGGATATGTCTGCAACAAGATTGAGCATATATCAATCTTTGTTTGCAACTCAATGATGGATACATTGGGTTCATTATACTACTGCTCTCTGTACTTTTGTTTGTTTGAAAGTTTTCATAATAAAGTTTTTACACAATCTATGTTTAGAGACCTTCTTGGCACCAGTAGTAGAATTTCTTGGGTAATTCATTTCTGTGATTATTATCATCACTGTGGGGACATTTGTCCTTGCATCAAATCACTTTGTAAAATAAGGCCGTTTCTTCATGTTCTGTTCAACAGCTTGGCACCAACATCTATTCACTTTCCCTTTCTCTTCTCAGCTCTCTTTTTCCAGATGTAGTGAACTGTATGCAGACTGACAACCTGGAACTAAAGAAGCTCGTCTATCTCTACTTGATGAACTATGCCAAGAGTCAGCCAGACATGGCCATCATGGCTGTCAACAGCTTTGTGAAGGTAACTTTTCCTCAAGGACTCAAGAGCAGGTTCTTCTACCTCAGATAACATTTTCAGAAACATCTCTTGATGTAGTTAGTGTCTGCATTGCAAATAAACAACCTCTGTTCCAAAAGAGGGCCTCTAGAGAAGAACAGGCAGTGAGTAGGAAATGTTCATGTTTTAAGCATTCTGTATGCCAACATTTTTCATCCAGTTCAAACCATATGGTGAGCCTTCTGTTAGCTGGGCTTGGTGCATCCTTGCCAGATTGGAGAAGAAACCCAGGTGAAACCTCACTGTTTTACCTTCCAAGGCTGACAGAGGTTGGGCATATCGTTATAGTATCAGTAACCTGGGACTTTATCTGTTTTGTCTTTCCAATTCTTCATTTTTTTCCTGTACCAGAATACAAGCCCAAAGGCCTTTTCTGTTTTTATGTCAGGTCCACTAATGGCCTTGGGGGTAGTAACAATGGCTCACTAGGCTTCTAACCAGCCCTGGAATGAATCCTACTAGGCATTTCTTCATTGTGTTTATAAAACAGTTAAATGGAATCCTAACCTAAACTCTTAAACAGGCAACTAAGATTTGTACTTAGGAAAGGAATAGTGTGAGAGATTTGGGTACTGCTGTAGAGTGTGAGTGGATGCTTACATTAGTGAAATATTCTTCTGTGGCTTATGTAAACTAGACTGTTTACTTTTAGTCGTGTATACCTATAGTTGTCAGAGATTGTTTTTTATAGGACTGTGAAGATCCCAATCCTCTGATTCGGGCCTTGGCAGTCAGAACCATGGGGTGCATCCGGGTGGACAAGATTACGGAATATCTCTGTGAGCCCCTCCGCAAGTGCTTGAAGGATGAGGATCCCTATGTTCGGAAAACAGCAGCAGTCTGTGTGGCAAAACTCCATGACATCAACGCCCAAATGGTGGAAGATCAGGGATTTCTGGATTCTCTGCGGGATCTCATAGCAGATTCAAATCCAATGGTAACAGGCTTCTGCTTTTATAAAGAGAACAATATTTAAAATGGGTCCCTTTGAAAAGCATGCTTAAAACAAATCTTATCTTTGGGACTTTGAACCATTGGTTAGCTATGGGAAGCATGACTTCTGTGTGTCCCCAAAGATTGTCTATCTCGCACCCTAGGTGTTTCTGAGATGAAAACCAGGTACTAAAATACAAGGGTTTAAAGCAAACCTTTGTATCATACTTAACCCTATATTTGCTCAGAAACAAACTAGTTCTTTCATCGTTTTCTTAAGGAGGTTTTACTTTATTTATTTATTTATTTATTTATTTGTGAGGAAGATCAGCCCTGAGCTAACATCTGCCAATCCTCCTCTTTTTGCTGAGGAAGACTGGCCCTGGGCTAACATCTGAGCCCATCTTCCTCCACTTTATATGGGATGCTGCCACAGCATGGCTTG